CTAATGGTGAAACAGGGTTCAAGTAACCCTCGGGAGTGGCAAAACACTTCCCAAAGATCACGGCATTTGTATACCCTATCCGGCGGTCCGGAGTCCAAAAGAGAGGCATCAGATAACTTGCTAACTGGCTCTTCCATGCAAAACACAATAAATAACAGAGAGGATAATCCCATAGCTTAACACAGTGCCTTCCATCCCAAGCTATTAGAGGGCAGTGAAGGCATACAACAAGTGCAATTCACCACCTGAGAGCTTAAGCTGTGGGACCAAACTCACTAATCTAGACTGGCAAGAAATGAAGACAACAGGTGAGAGGTAACCCAACTTCCTAAAATACCTCTAAGGCAATACAGGACCAGCCTGCCTCTCCCCAGCACTGTCAAGGAACTCCCTTCGGGGACTTGGACATAGGGCCATAAGCCAGTCCCATCACTCCCAGTCTCGACAAAGTAGCCTGATGAGAAAGAATCAGTGAAAGAAATCAGGAAACACGAAAGATCAGAGAGAAAAGTCACCCCCAAAAGAAATCATTAGATCCTCAACAACGGATATCAATATAAACAAAATAATTAAAATGATGGAGGAAGAATTCCAAATATGGATTGCAAGAAAATTCAATGGAGTTGAAGAGAAAATAGAAACCGAACACAAAGAAGCCACAAGAAGTATACAGGAAATGAATGAAAAATTCTCTAAAGAAATTGAAATATTATGAAAGAACTAAACAGAAATTCTGGAAATGTAAGAAGCATTTAAGGAACAACAAAACATAGTGGAAAGCCTTAAGAATAGGATGGATGACACAGAGGAAAGAATCTCAGTCGTCGAAGATAATGCCTATGTGCTGGATGACTGCCAAAGCTTTGTGCCAGATCACACAGCACAGCCAGAGCCACATCCTAAGTTCAGGAGAGTCCTCAGCAGCTCTCCAAGGACATCAAAGTACGGGCCCTACCCATTAAAAAATCAGGATTATCTGTCCCCTCCTCCTGGGTCAAACCAAATCAGGGTCCTGAGCCCAGCAAAGGGTTTGCTCAACATTGCAAGAAAGTTGCTGCATCATGGGGGAAAGTCATGCCCAGGCTGAGACAGGTGAACATGGACATGTTCATTCCTATAGTTGGTAACTACGGACTGACCCTGCCAGAGGCTGGGTGGGTGCAGGCTCACAGTGGTGTTGGAGACAGATGGGAACCAGAGGACATCGGTCAAACTGGACCCAGTCTCTGCATTCCTAGAGTTCTATTTAGTAAGGCACCTGTAGAACTTACTCCTTTCCACCCATTAGGTCCAGTCAGGGCACATCACAAACATGTGAAGTCCACTTCCTCATGGCTTCAGGTAGTTCTCTGGAGTCCTCCCATACTGTGTGGGCAGCATCCATGAGCCATTCAAGCGAGGAGTGGTCGCCTCCACCACAGTAACTACTTATCTGTAGCCTCGGCCTCAGGGAAGGACGTATAGTTATAGATGCCAGTTGCTCCATCTCCCTCGGGAAAGCAGGACGCTATCCATCCCTTCGCCTCATAAGTGCAGCAACCAGGCAGGCAAGTCTTCCCCAGGTCGCTGTCTGCACTGTTTCCCCAGTTCCCACAGTTCTGCAGGCGTGTAAGCAGAGTAAATGATATGTTCTGATACTGCAGGCATGCCATGCACCAACCCCCGGGTCCCCGTGGGTTCCACATGCTCCATTCTCTGTTTCACAACTAGGGGGCACTCAGCAGGGGAGGGGCCCCGCCCTCAGTCTCCTGTGTACTTGTGGTTTCTTCGGGGTCCACGGCCAAAACACTCATTAAGTGTGTTAGCCTGCACCCGGGCTTCCAGGTTTTCCTCTGTCACTTGTGATTCTCTTACCTGGGTTTCTTGCCGTAGGGTGCCCTTGTGCTGCTCATGGAGGGCTGTAAGGAGGAGTCAGCCCACCCAACGAGCTGCCACTCACTCCCCAGGCTGCAGTGACTCTTCCAAGGCCCACTAGGCCTTTTCCAGGGTGGCAGGCATACACTCCACCACCTCCCACTCCATTGCAGGGGCCCACGACATGAGAACCACTGCCACTGGGTGCCACAAGACCGTGGGAGGCCACACAGCCTTCCTTACTGGGGCGGAGGGGACACTAACCCCAGCTTTGCCAAATGTGGGGATGGGGCTCTTCGGCTAGTGAGTGCACCAGAATAGTTTTCGGAAATTGAAAGAAGACACGAGCAGAGGGGTGCAGATAAGACATACTCTTTATTGTTGGAGGAATGCAGCACACAGCGAGAATATGGCAAGTGCTTATATATGGCTCAGAACAATAGTGGCAACATGCCAAGTTAAAGCGTGATCACATTGATTCACGTAGGAGATAACACCTTGGTTACCTAAGCGTGCCTCCCGGGAAGGCCAGCTTGCTGGAGGACTGGATCAGAAAAATCACTCTGGCAGTCATCTTAGTTTGACCCAAGAAACCTATTGTCTATAGAAATGAATTTTTCCCTTACAGGACTCTCCTTCACACAAAGAATGGTTGGCTCATTAAGG